AATTACATTGCCATCATTTATCAAATGCTATGCTTATTTATGTACGCGTGTTTAATGAGACTTTTTAAATGAGTTTAATTATTTTGATTGATAGGAATGTTGTAGCGGAAAAATGTAAAAATTACAGTTTGTATATATTTTAATTTAATTGTTACAATAGTTAACAATTTACCCGCTCATTTATATATCCCGGATTTATTCTGTAATATATAAATGAGCCGGGAATTTAACTAAAGATCTTTTCGGTGTAAAACCTAGCATGACCAATGCTGCTGAATTATAAAAAAAGTTAAAAACAAGTTAAAATAATTGACAAAAAAATTATCAAATATAGAAACACGTTTTGCCGAACTTTTTTGCCGAGGCAAATTATTACAATACTCCAAAGCCTTTGGCATATGCAGAGTGCCAAGGTTAATTTCTAACACTGTATGTATATCAAGTCAGGTTATCCTGCTACTGGCAACATGTAACCCAGTAAAATTTGTTTCATGCCCTGCTGCCTTAAAAGATACGCCTTTTTAGACAAAGGCTAGGAGAAGCCAACTCCGATTTAAAGCACCCCTTTTCTTGGGGCTCCTGGTTGAGTAAAGGCTAGAGATAGTGTCTCCATAAAAACACTCATCTTGGGCAGGTGTTAAATGCATCCGGCTACTGTCTTGTAGAAGGCCTCCTAGGCAAAGACTTAAGGGGTAAACAGATTTTATCTTTTGACCAGCCTCGCACTCCTTCTTCATCATTTAGGCTGGCGCAGATATATTTAGAACATTGTTTCCAGTTTAGGAAAAAAGGTTTTTGAATGCTAGATCTTCTTGACTCAATGCATGGATTTTGCTTGTGTCTCTGTTTTAATGACTATGCAACTGATTCTACTATCTCCTAATGAGGGTACAGATCTAAAACGCTTTATGGTTCTGAGACCAGCTGGTAGTCAGGTTTCCCAAACTCTGTGGTAGCTCTCAGAGAGGCTGATTCCATCAACAACTAAAAAATAACAAAGTATAAACAGTGCCATGTTGCGCATGAATGGTTCCCTGTTTGTACTTTTGCTGCACATTGTCGAGGCCACCTTTGAAGCCCTTTGTTACGGTTTAGGGTTTATTAATAGTAACAAGGTAATTGCTTGGGCTATTAAAAAGTGTATTGAGTGCTGTCTATGCTTTAAGTTAAGTTCTTTAACAGATTTAAAAATGATTTAAGTACCAAAAACTATAAAACACAAAAAACCATTGTCATCACCAAGTTCTCTAAACCTATCATTCACTAATATTCATGGTCTTTGAAGTAACTTTTCTTCTGTAGAGTCTTCTCTCTTGCAAAGTTCACCAGACCTACTTGCTCTTTGTGAGACTAATTTGAGTTCAGCTGTTTTATCTTGTGATCTTAGTGTTGATGGTCATCTTCCTTTAATTCGTAAAGACTCTTATAGTCACATGCTTGGCCTGGGCATCTACAATCCATTTGCCTTTCTCAATCCCTAACTGAAATAGTCAACTTTCCACCTTGCTTTTCAGACAACCCAAATCATTTATCTTCTCTAATCGACCTATGTCTTGTTTCTGATCCTAGTCAGTGCTCAGTTTCTCCACATTTACCCTTAGGTGCTTCTGATCTCAGTTTGATCTCTCTAAAACTATTATCTCATTCTTCTTTATCATTTGATCCCCCTGTCATCATCGTACCTCATATTTCATCACAAAAATAAGGCCCTCATGACTTCTGGAGAATCTTTAATAGTATCAATAAAAAGGGCACACCTGTTATTCCACCTCTCTTGTATGATTACAACTTTGTCACCTCACCTAAAGACAAAGATGAATTGTTTGCTTAAAACTTTTTATTAATATCATCTCTCGATTCCACAAGTTGCGTTCTACCTGATTTAGCCATCAAACAGGTCAATCCATTGCTTGACATTCATACCACTCCAGCTTCTTTATCTAAAGCGGTTTCCTGCTTAGACTCTTCTACAGCTTGTGGCCCGGACAACATACCTGTTGTAGTCTTGCAAAAGTGTTCTCTGGAGCTATTGTCTATACTTTCAAAAATATTTAACAAGTGCTTTTCAGGGTCTTGTTTTCCAGCCTTCTGGAAAGCTGCATCTGTTATTCCTATTTCCAAAAATTCTGGAGTGCGATCTGATTCGTCTAACTACTGTCTCATTAGTCTTCTTCCTATCATAAGCAAGGCTTTTGAATCTTTAATTAACAAACACTTATTCTTTCATCTCAAATCTCATAACCTACTTTCTGATCATCAATATGGATTTCGATCTTCTCGCTCTACAACTGATTTGCTATCAGTGATAACCGATAGCAATCGTGTATTAGATAAAGATGAAGAGGTTAAAGCCATTGCTCTTGACATTTCTTAAGCTTTTGATAAAGGTATGCTGGTCTTCTCCATTAGGTTTCTTCTTACGGTGTATCTGGTAACATCTTTAAGACTCTTAAATCCTTTCTTTCGAATCATAGTATAAAAGTTGTCCTGATTGACTCTTTTTCTTATTCAATAACTTCAGGGGTTCCTCAAGGTTTAATCCTTGGCCCTATACTCTTTTTAATTTACATTAACGATTTTCCAGATATTCTCACATCTAAAGTGGCATTGTTTGCTGATGATACTACCATTTATTCTTGCATGATAAGAAGCTAACACTCTCTGATTTCTTGGAGGGAGCATTTGAGCTTGAAATAAATCTTGCTTCTGCTACAGCATGAGACTCACAGTGGCTGGTGAACTTTAAAATCAGATTAAACTCAATTTTTTTCAGCCAATCGTTATGGCAATAATTTAGACCTTCTTATATTTTTGAACAGTAATGTACTCGATGAGTCATCTACACTTCATCTTCTAGGATTAACTCTTACTTCCGATTTTTTTTGTGGAAACCTTATAAAATAATCCATTGCAAAATTAGCACCTACTAAGGTTGCATCTCTTTATTGAGCTCAACACTTTCTTACTCCGGATTCTATTCTCTCAATAAATCTCAAATCTATCCTTGTATGGAATACTGTTGCCATATCTGGGGCGGATCTTCTAATGATGCCTTTCTCTTTTAGAGAAGGTGCAAAAGCGCATTCTAAACATAGTTGGACCTGCTCTTTGCAGCAAACCTTTAACCATTATCACATCGTCATAATGTTGCTTCTCTTTCTTTTTTCTACAAATACTATAATGGGCACTTCTCTAAAGAGCTAGCGTCGCTTGTGCCATACTAAAATTTACTCTTGTGTTACTCGTCATTAAATTAAGTCTCGTCCTTTTTCTGTTACTGTTCCTAAGTGCTCTAAAAACTCTAATTTGTCTAGTTTTTTTCCTCCAACATTAGTCCTTTGGATTTTGCCTTCCTCATCTTCCTTTCCTGATTTATATAATTTGCAATGCTTAAAGTCATCTGTCAATCGTTATCTTGTTCTACAATCTTTATCTTTTTTCTTCCAGTAACTTTCATACTCTAATTAGTGGTTGCTTGCAGCCTTGTTGGAAGCGATGTTAATTATATATATATATATATATATATATATATATATATATATATATATATATATATATATATATATATGTATATGTATATGTATATGTATATGTATATGTATATGTATATGTATATGTATATGTATATATATATATATATATATATATATATATATATATATATGTATATGTATATGTATATGTATATGTATATGTATATGTATATGTATATGTATATGTATATGTATATATATATATATATATATATATATATATATATATATATATATATATATATATATATATATATATACACACACACAGTATTAGTCACTTAGCTAAATAATCTGACATCGTGTTGACATAGAGAGTGTCAGTATAGCATTGATTGACTATTTAGAGAGAACATATAAGGGAGTCCTGCTAGATTAGCTGGGGGTTTGGATTAAAGCACAAAAAATATATTTAGAAAAATGTATAAATACATATAGAAATGTATTTATTAAATAAAGTTTTAAATATGTATAAATACATATTTAAAACTTTTTTATGTTGCATTTACAATAATAAATCATTAAAGCAATTCAAACTGTCGCAAAACCAGAATCAAAACAACACTCAATATATTATTTCAGGCCTTGTTTTAAAGTATTACGTGAAGAGCATAATTGCATATACCTCTTAGGCAATTTTATGTAACCAGTAACTGATACTGTTTTTTTTTTATCATTTTTTAACTTGTGAGTTATTGTATAAGCGATAAGATAAAAAAAGTAATTAATTTTAAATACAGTCACATAACTTTTAAATGACTTTTATGTAAAAATATTTTTTACAAAAGTTTAAATGACAAAAGTTTGAATGTTTTTACAAAAGTTTGAATGTTAGATATAAGTGCTATTTACTAATGAAAAAAACTGAAATAAAATGAAAAATTAATTTTTATTTTATTTTTATTTTATTGTAATGATTTTTGGCTTGATTAATGATAATACTTTAAGCTTAAAGCAATGATCATAATAACATAATTTAATTCTGATAATATAATTTAATTCTGATAAAAAGTATATATTATTTAATTTAATATCTATATATCCTATTCAGGTACCAACTAACCGACAACCAACTAACTACCAACTAACAACCATCTTCTTTTTTTTTATTTTTATAATTCTCTTCTTTTTTATGAATAAACCTCATAAGTTTGAACGTTTTATAGAGTAATTGCGTAATTAAATGTTTTATATTTAAAACATAAAACATTTAATTAATTAAATGTTTTATATTTTCTTAAAAAATATTTTATATTTTCTTAAAAAATGTTTTATATTTTCTTAAAAAATGTTTTATATTTTAGTTTATTTAAGCAAAATAAACTATATGTATACATTGTAAATGCTATATGAAAGATTTTTATAGACAAAGTGCAATAATAACTTATGTGTCAGTTATTACGCTCTGGAAATATTTACTTTAATAATGTTAAACCTGAAAAACTTTAAATATTGAAATAATTTTACCTTAAGAACTTTTATTTCATCTTCTTGAGACATCTGGACACCACCTTTGCATTCACCATTATCATCATCTTCAAAAGGGTCATCGAAGTTTTCATTGTTAAGGGATTGATTATGAGCAGCTTTTGCACTTTTATGCCTCTGAACTGCAGCAGCTAACACCTTTGATGGGGTAGAAGCCATATCAATAAGTGGCGATATAACTTCAGGAGAATATATAGTATTTTTTTGCCAAAGATTCAACACTCTTACAACTTTTGGCTAAACAGTAATAAACAAAATAATCAAACAAACATAAAGAATATGATACAAAAAAAACTTTCATATTATAAATCTTCAAGAGTAAATTTAGATTGATAATTTACTAATATATTCTACTTGCTTTAATTGTCAAAATGTCAACTTTAACTCAAACTATATTTCAGAAAAGTAGGAAAAAAACAACCTTTTTTTGCTGTAATAAATGTCCTTCAAAAACTCAAACCTTGAGACTATTTTTATTTAAATTACTTCCATTTAGGTTAGGGATGTATAAGTTCAAAACTATTTGAATAATAATTTTAAATTTTTTTACATGAAATGCTTATAATTACTTGAGTCATTGAAATCGTTAAACCATACATGAAACACTCAAGTGACTTGATTAATATAAATAACTTGATTTACTAATCAGAGCATGATTAAATAATACTATTTTGAAAAGACTTCAATATTCATAGTATTATTTTTTTTTGCAATTTGTTGGAAAAAATAAATACTTATACAACTAAAAAAAATATCTAATAATAATTGTTAATTTAAATAAATTATGTTTATTTACAAACCAATCAGTAGAAGTAGTTTATTACTTTACGTAAAAGTAACTTTAAACATTTCAAATAATTTAAAGTTATTTTTTTTTTTCAAATGCAATTAAAACATTATTTTATTAATTATTATCTATTTTGTAAGAAATTTTTTGAGATGTAAGGCTTCTATATTAAGTGATATTAATTATTTTAAAATCAAAAACTAGTCAACATTATAATGTAATTATACATTTACATTGATGCATACATATATAAAAACTAAAGTAAAACCTTGTCCTCCTGAGGGCATTGAAAAATGTTCTGAAATAAAAATTTGAGGTTTTTTTGAAACCGTGGACCGAATAAGTCTTTGTCAGGACCAAACTAAACAAAACAATTAGAACTGTACCAAAATACTGATCTTTAAACAAATGTTTCTTTAAACTAAACACTTAATTAAAAAATATACCTGATGTCGTGACTGTCGAATTATTGAATCAAGAACATAAAGTGCTGCTATTTTATATTCTGGTCGACACTGAAACAAAATTGAGTTAAATTTTTACATAAAAATAATTGAGCAATACTTTTTATATAACAATATAAGAGTAAAATTCTTATAAAGATTAAAAAATAAATAAATAAATTTGCTAAATTGCCTAGTCAAAATGACCTTTAAGATCCTATAAGATTTTGGAATAAAAAAATTTCAGATTTGAACCTCATTAATTATTTGGTTAGGGTTACTTGGCACAGCTGAATTTCATTGGCACAAAATGTTATTGGTTATATCTTACCAAAAATTATATACACGAAGACTTATTTTTGCTTTTGTATATAAAAAATAAGAGAACAAACATAAGTTTAATAGCGCATACAAAATAGGTTATTATTAGAAAGTTAATTTTTTAATTTTAAACACTCTAATCTTAAAATTTTAATTTTTTTTTTTTGTGGAAAAATTTTACTTAGATTGATAATAGTGTCAAGTAGTATTAATAACCCTAATGCAATAATAATAAACTTTTTGGCTAAAAAACAAAAATGAACTCTACAACTATATTTTTTATGTGTTTTACATTTCAAACTAATTTAAAATTTATAGCACACCATTGCTATAACTAAGCATGTATTTAAACAAACTTAAGTTTTAAAAATTTATTTATTTATTTAAAAAAAAAAGATTTAACTTTATTTATTTCAAAGGTAAATTAAAGCTGCTTTGGCAACACAAAATTGAATCGGAACTCATTAACTATGTTCTTTTATACTACTATAAACAAGGAACAATATAGTTTAATTTAGGGTTGTTTGTTGAAAGACTTCGCAAAAATTTCGCATTTTTATCTACCCATTATCAAGTTGTCAAAAGTTACATATGCGAAATTTCATCTTACATAAAGATTATTACAAAAGATGAATAAACATTAATTTCTGCAAAAAAGACTTGCAAAAAGAAACTTGCTAAACAATTTATTTCAAAAAGAGACATTTGAAATAAATTGTTTTCAACAATTTATTTTAAAAATCTCCTTTTGAAATAAATTGTTATTATAAACAGCTCCTTACAAAAAAAGTGTTTTGAAACGTGAATGAAAACTTATGGAAAAGAATCAAAAACATTAAATAAACGGATATACAAAATAAAACAATTTAATAAATAAAAATGTTGTTAAATGATTTAAAGTGTGCATAAACAGTCTGCGAAATCCAAAGAGTTTTAGCTCAGCACAAAAGTGCTGACTTTTTGAATTTAGCCGACATCAGGTTGGATTCTTTATATTTATAAGCTAATCATTTTTGTTCGTTACTTATTTAACACATCATTTATTTTTGTGACAATTTTTCAAAAGCTTTGAATACTCTCTGCAAGTTTTACAACAAATTAAAATAACTTCTCTTGAATCATTTGATCAAATGATGTAGGATTTAAATCTCCGTGTTTCCATAACTGTTCTATTAGGCATATTAAGACTTATTTACTTGTGTAACACTTACACACATAAACACTGTAGTGTTTCTTATTTTTAATTGCTTTAACCAAAAAAAATTTTGAATAAATAAGCCTGAATAAATAAACAACAAACATTTAAATACTTTTGAATGAATCAATTGCTTTGCTTGCTTGCTATGAATTTCAGAAAAAATTAGTTGAAAAAAAAAAAGAAAAAAAGGAATGAAGTTTTTTTTAAATAAAACTTATCTAACTTGAAAAAACAAAAAATTACAGTAAATAAATTATAATATTTATATACTTTTTATATTTATTTATTCTGACACTTTTAGAGATTACAGTAAAGCAAAGATCATTTATTGTGTCGCAATTGCTAAATGCTGATCTGGATTTTGCGGGCTATATATATATATATATATATATATATATATATATATATATATATATATATATATATATATATATATATATATATATATATATATATATATATATATATATATATATATATATATACATATATATATATATATACACCAACATGCAAGGCGTGATGTACCATCACGCCTTGCATGTTGTACCTATTTGTTGTACCAACACTCCTCAAATAATCTACCTGTTTGTCAGTCAATCGATGTCAAGATGAAAAAATTAAAATAAAACATTTAAAATGTTTTTTCTTATTAAAAAAAAAAAACATTCCAGTTTTTTTATTTTTTTAAATTGGGTAATTATTTCTGTTATTGTTTGTGCAGGATGATAAAATTTATTTTATGATTTCATTTTTTACGCTTCTATAACAACTTTTGTTTTCTTTTACAGAACATTTTTGATGGAAAAGTTAGATTAATAAAAATAAAATTTTCTTTATTTTTTCTCATGTTTTTACATTTGTAAATGGTGCAAATATCAAATATAATTGTCATGCAAACTTTTTTGATTAATCATTAAAAATGATTAAAAATGGCTAATGTGAAATGGCTTACCGCTTACATTAAATGGCTCAGTGCATACAAAAATGGCGCTCCAGTTAATGCTTTAAAATAAGGCCTGCATACATACAGATCTACATACATATGAAACAATATATAGTACACATAAATATCAATTTTAATTAAACCTTCTGCAGAAACCTTTCCACACTTTTTTTTGTGGGAGTGGAGGGTGGGGGGTGGGGAATTAACAAAATTTTATTACTTTTATTCAACAGAAATATGAAACAATTTTAATTATACCTTCTGTAGAAATTTTTCCACACTGTGCACAATGTGCTTGTAGTGCTATAAAAATATTTAACAAATAAACAAATTTTTATAAAAATATTTAATAAACACAAACTTGTATAAACATATTAAATATATTCACAAATTTATGTAAAGATATTTAACAAATACACAAATTTCTATAAAAATTGTAACATCATAATAATAACAATAATAATTAGTATTACACACACACACACACACACACACACACACACACACACACACACACACACACACACACACACACACACAGATATATATATATATATATATATATATATATATATATGCATATATATATACACATATATATATATATATATATATATATATATATATATATATATATATATATATATATATATATATATATATATATATATAGTTGCGGTACACCAACCCAAGTCAGTAGAGGACTTGAAACGTATTGTGAAGGACGTTTGGGTAAAGGAAATTACGCCGGATTATTGCAAAACTCTGGTTCGTAGCATGCCTGCTATGAACCAGCTAATATTATTTTGTTTAGTGTTTCTTCCTATTTTCACATATAAAAGTTCATTTGTTGTTCTTCTTCCTTGTGAATTTTATTTTTCTAATTTGAAAAATTTGAAAATTGCACTGAAAAAGCTCTGAGCAAGAGAGCATGTAATTATCAAAAATGTAATTTAAACTTAAAATGTTTAAATCAGCAATTTAAATCATAACCAGATACAAGCATTAAAACAAATAAAGAGGGCAAAAACATTGATATATACACTTTTTATAAAGGAGCAGGCTTTGTTAGAATAGAACACAACAAAACCATTGATAAAATTCGCCAAGTAATTGGCATAAAAAAAGATAACTTAAGAGGACACGACTATTAAATTTGCTACTAAAATTAGAACTTATCTATCAAAATTGAATAAAAATGGGGATTTACCAAAATAGAAAATAAAAGTCTTTACCCAAGCGACCCGATACTGCCACTTATGTATGGGTATGGTGTAATTAAAGTGCACAAACCAGAAAATTGATTAGTAGTTTTAACCATCGGGACACCAAGTTATAGAATACCACATTATTTAGTAAATATATTTCAACCAACTTAAAATTTGGACACCATATTTTTTATTCTGGACACCATATTTTTTATACTTACGCAACATTAAAGAAGCCCAATTAAAAGGAACTTTAGCGAAACCATTAAAAAGTGAAGTTACCATTTGTTTGTAATTAAATATAATTAACAGTTTGTAATTAAAGCTGAAGATGCTAGTATCAAAAACCAAGCAAAAATTTTTCTATATATAAAAACACCCTTATATATATATATATAAGGGTGTTTTTTTAGAGGTATAGAACTTTAAGTTGGCATTACTGTTCAAGATGGCAACCGATTTAACAGGTGACAAGTGATTTATTCTCAGTTTGGTTTGGCAATTCATCATGAATAGACTCACGCCTGAACAACGCTTGCAAATAGTTAAATTTTATTTCGAAAATAATGGTTCTGTGCGGAATACGTATCACGCACTACGTCCATTTTATCCTCGACAATATCGTCCATCAGAGCAGTTAATTCGATTAACCATGGAACGTTATCGCACCACGTTTACTCTTATTGATAACTCGCATCCCCAGAGACGCCGTACGGTGCGTACAGAAGAAGCTATTGCTACTGTAGAGCGTAGCATTGCGGAAGACCCGAATGAGTCCATCCGCCATCGAGCACAGGAATTGGATCTGTGTCCATCCACTGTATGGAAGATTTTGCGGAAGGATCTTGGTATGCGTGCTTACAAAATCCAACTCGTACAAGAATTGAAGCCAAACGATCATCAAGCAAGGCGTAGATACGTCGAATGGGCCCAAAACGAGATTGCCATTGTTCCTGATTTTCATAAGCGAATTTTCTTTAGCGATGAAGCGCACTTCTGGTTGAATGGTTACGTCAACAAACTAAACTGCCGCATTTGGAGTGAAGATAATCCTCAAGTGTATGTCAAAACACTGTTACATCTAGAAAAACTGACTGTTTGGTGCGCTTTATGGGCTGGTGGAATCATTGGTCCGTACTTCTTCAAAAATGATGATGGCCAGAACGTTACAGTCAATGGTGATAGGTATAGAGCCATGATTACAAACTTTTTCATTCCTGAATTGAACAACCATGATGTCCAGGACTGTGGTTTCAATAAGACGGCGCAACATGTCACACAGCTCGTGCCACAATCGATTTATTGAAAGACACGTTTGGTGACCACCTAATTTCACGTTTTGGACCTGTGAATTGGCCTCCAAGATCTTGTGATTTAACACCGCTAGACTACTTTCTGTGAGGCTATGTAAAGTCATTGGTCAAATGCTTGACCATTTGGAAGACAACAATAACGTGTTATTGTCGATATACAGCCACAAATGTTGGAAAAAGCCATCGAAAATTGTACGTCCAGATTGGACTACATCCGAGCCAACCGTGGCGGTCATATGCCAGAAATTATATTTAAAATGTAATGCCACAAGATTATCTTTCTAATAAAAAAAAATTCTTGTCAATCGAATAATCCATCGTTGTTTTATTGCAATTTAAAGTTCTATACCTCTAAAAAAAACACCCTTTATATATATATATATATATATATATATATATATATATATATATATATATATATATATATATATATATATTATATATATATATATATATATATATATATATATATATATATATATATATATACACTCTTGAATGGTAGTTAAAAAGAGTTTCCCATAAACTGTAGTTTTAAAGAGCCCGTTAATAAACCAGACCAGAAAAAGTTTAAAAACTTAAATTTTTTTTTTTGTTTAAATGATAGACTGCCTGCCCAAACCAAACCCTCAGTCGATGTAGCAGTACTCCCTTGCGAGTCAGGCTATTTGTCAGTCGTTGTAGCAACACTCCCTTGCGAGTCAGGCTATTTGTCAGTCGATGTAGCAGCACTCCCTTGCGAGTCGGGCTATTTGTCAGTCGATGTAGCAGCACTCCCTTGTGAGTCAGGCTATTTGTCAGTCGATGTAGCAGCACTCCGTTGCGAGTCAGGCTATAAGATAGTCGATGTAGAAACACTCCCTTGTAGCAGCAGGCTATAAGATAGTCGATGTAGCAACATTTACGCATGTTTTAAAAATGTTTGTTAATAAAACAAAAACAAAAACACGACTAATTAAAAAAAACTTTCTAGTCGTTATTATTGCAGTTTTTTAAAAAAATTTTAAAAAACAATAAAATTTAGTGTACTTCTGCATTAATTTAATTGCTTTGACATTTCGACGACAATCAAATACAGCTTAAGAGATGAGGTAATTAAAATTGTAGTCGAAAGAGACTTTTTTTACATTAAAAGAATCTTTCGACTACACTATAAGGATATATATATATATATATATATATATATATATATATATATATATATATATATATATATTATACATATATATATATATATATATATATATATAGGCTTAAGAAAGGCTTAATATTTTAAAGCATGCAAACAGCCATGGTGAAGTTGCCTTAAGAAAATATTTAATGCTTGGACAGACAAGGCGTCTGACTGCATTAACATATATATATATATATATATTTATATATATATATATATATTTATATATATATATATATTTATATATATATATATATATATATATATATATATATATATATATATATATATATATATATATATATATATATATATATATATATATATGTATATATATATATGTATGTATGTGTATATATATATATATATATATATACATATATATATATATATTTATATATATATATATATATATATAAATATATATATATATATATATATATATATACATATATATATATATATTTATATATATATATATATATATATATATATATATATATATATATATATATATATATATATATATTTTGTTTACTTTGAATCTTTTTGAAAATTTTCTCAATTCATTTTTAATATTTTTGTTTGCACAATTTAAGTTATATATGTTTATTGTTTGCATACCGGTTTTTACATCCATTTAAAACAATCATGACAACCGTTTAAAACAACCATGACATTCATTCAAAACACAGCGACAATCAATTAAAACAATGTGATTTTCAATTAAAACGATCGTGATTTTCATTTAAAACATTTAACGCACGCGCAATCTCAACATTCTATATTATTTTAAAAAAAAAAGGTCTTCTTTATATATTTATTTATCTAATATTATATAAATTTATTTTTATTAATATTATATCAATTTATTTTAATTTAATGGAATTTATTTTAAATTTGAATGGATGTCACGTTTGTTTTAAATGGATGCAAAACCATATTTTTTTACATATTTTTTATACACATACTGTATTGGCAAAACAACCATGATCTTCAATTAAAACATGCATGATGATAATTAAAACAACCAGGATTTCCTATTAAAATATTTAGCGCATGAGGATATTAGATTTTCAATAAAACATGCAGCAAAATTCTGTTTGCCAAAATAAGCAAAAATTTTTTTTGAGATTGGTCGTCGGTCAAAGAAAAATTTAATCTGAAACTTCATTGCCACGAAAAACTCAATCTGAATCTTCATGCCGCGAAATCCGTTTCTCAAAACATGCGAGATCTTGCTGTAAATCTAGTCGTTGATCAAAGGAAAACTCAATCTGAAGCTTCATCATTAACAGGAGTTAATCGAAACACAATACAATCAATTTTAAGAAGGTAGGATCGAACGAATTCAACACTTCCTGGTTCTAGAGGTGGCACTCGTCACGTTATTTATAATGAAGAGATTAGAAGAAGAATTGAAGAGCTTATAAACGATAACACAACAACAACTATAATTGAAATTAAATATGCTTTAAATGTAAATGTATCAATTAAAACTGTCTGGAGATGGGTGACCAATCTTGGATACACATATAAAATTACTCGACCAATTTATGAAAGAAGAAACGACAATGATGTAAAAAATCTTCGTATTGAATATGTTAG